ATAGCAATGCTTCGTGGATACAAAAACTGTCCATCAGCTGATTCATTACTACCAAATGAATGAGATCAGGAATCAAGACTTGTATACGATGATTACTAATACAAGCAATATAAACCTGTCCTGTTATAGGAGAAATGGCTGTACCATGAGGACCACTGAATTCTAGTGGTCCACTGCCCTCCTTACCAACTGATGCTGTAAGGTATCTATCCATACTTATTTTCTGGATCCTGTGATTAGTATCAGATACAAGAATGAATTTGTCTGGATTAATGGCTACACCACGAGGACCAGAAAACTTGACATTACCAATTCCTCCTTCCCCTCCTAATGATTTCTCTTTCTATCCTTCTATATCCAGTATTGTTACACAGTGACCTTCATTCTCAGTTATTATTACATGATTATCATCACTTACAGCTACTCTTCAGGGACGGTTAAGGTCGATTATGGCACATACTGAAGTGATGTTGTCAAGGCAAGGATTGAAAGGGATGACTAGTGACGAATCCTTAAGTTTTACCCCTGCTTGAAGGATTACACTGTATCCTATACACTCCAGGATCAGTGCTGGTGGTAGTGACTGTAGTGTGAATGGGTTGATCACTCTTACCAACTGGTACTAGACTACACCTGAGAGAAGAGAGGGGAACAGACAAAAGAGATGAATCTGGTGCCTCCATTGATAGTGAAAATGAAACTGCATTGCCAGCAGGTGTAATACGATCAATCTTGTTCACTCTATATTGTGATGGTATAATAATATCTCCAATGTGATTTAGCGATTTGATATCTTTACTCAACAAAAAGTCCGCTTTTTCCTTTGGATGTAACTCCTCCACATTGATCCCTGCAGTAAATTCACTCACACGCTCCATGATCTGTCTCTTAGACCTCAGGACTTGTTGAGAACTGCCTGTCCTCAGAAATACTCCAAATGGAAGACTCAAAGTCATTTCTGCTGATTTCGTTTGCTCTGAAAGCACCTTTAGTTTAGCATCAGTGACTGACTGACGAAGAACAGCAATCATTTCCTCTACCATTTGATGTATTTCTTCTATGACTCCTCCTCTCTCTCTGATTGCACCCTCTCTTTCTGCTAGAGCAGACAGAACCTTCTTGAGTCCTTCAATTTCCCCTTTTACTGGATTAAGAGAACCTTCCAATTCTTGGCAGTATTTAGTATAACTGGCAGAGACAAAGTCATACTCATGGTCTTTGTGAGTACGGACCGTACAGTCACAACATATAACAACATCACATGTTTCACAATAGAGCTCCATTTTTCTTGTTATGAGTGGAGCAAGTGAGGGTTGCCTCCTGTTTAGCTAGAGCTAGCAATTGAGAAGTAGAAGAGACATCAGAGGCTGTCAGGTCATCTAGACTTGTCAGCTAATGGTGGGCAATGGGAACCCAAATCTTGTGAGCATCCATTATCCATACACTGTTGACAAAAACTTATTGCAGTCTTTGCAGTATCAAGTGGTATTAATTGTAGTACAGTTGTCGCAGGGGACCTGTTGAAGATCAGATGCTTTCTTCATTAGACTGTATATCTCTTTAAAGTTGTTGAGAGTGAATGCTACAGAAATGGCTTCTGCTCCTTCTTCTGGTAACTTGTACAATGACTATAAGTGGGACAGGAGAGGTAATACATGTAGGTCTCATTCTTCTTATCCGAAGGTAATCCCTCCAGACAATGCTGACAGAATGAATGTAGACGAGGTAAAGTCTTAGGGTTGGTATAGTGGTCAAGACACACAGGACAGTTGAGTTGTTCCTCCAGTTTCAGGCGGTTTCAGGAAATGAGAAGAAGATGAAGATGGTTTGGTTGCCATTTCAAGAAAAGAATGCGTGAAACAAGAATGAAAAATTAAGAGAGATAAAGGTAGAAAATAGTGAAGATAAAGCAAGAATGAACGATAAGAAAATTAAGAAGTCGGAATGAACAAGTATGAGAGTAGCCTAGCTGGAAGAGATAACGCTGATGACTGCTTGGAATAATTAATTAATTACTAGTCCCTACAGGAAGTTATGATAGTACATTCCTTTACTATATATATAGCAACCAGTAGTAAAGGTGAATTTACATTAATGAATGAGATTGTAAAATAGAGGAGGAGGAGGAGAAGGGAAGGCAGTGAATGAGTGATGAGAGTTGAGAGAGAGTCCTACTGACCAGATGAAACAACAAAGCCAAATGAATAAAGTAGAAGGAGGAGAAAAAGACTAAAGAAGATCAGCTAGGCACAAAAAATTGGAGATACCTTAAATATATTCAAAGATCTTGTGACTAAAGGAAGTTATGACAGTGCATAATGAATTTCAAATTTACCAGTTAGTAAAGGTCAATAACATAAGGACATAACATAAGGTTTATGGTATAAAGGCGAATTTACATGCTTTACGCTAAAGTTAAACCAGATTCAACTCCTGCGTCAATGTAATGTCAGGACTAGCGTAATATTGTAAATCCACCTTAAGTTGAGCACAAGAACTTGCAATGGTATGAATAAAAATTATTTCAAAAATATCAATTTTATTTGTAATACCAAAGAGGCCTAAAGATGTACATGTAGCTGATAAAAATATTGAGACTACAAAAATTATAACACTCTACGTAGAGTTCTATACACTCACAAAGTTACTTGATATAAATTTCATAGTAACCTACAGGACTGTCATCATTACTGATTCCTTCTCTTCCACACACCATCAGCTCAATATAGTCAGTAGTGGCATTGTTACCATAGTCACAGTGAAACCATGGGATACCAGGAACAATATAACAAGGTGATTTAAGAGAAGCACAATCTTGACCATCCCAGAGTGAATCAGATGTGTGGAGTGTATTAGCAGCAACACTGGTAGGATTAGCAGACTCACAGAAATAATGGTTTTCTACAAAAGATGGGATAGTCTGGGTGCTCCCTGTTGAACATGGACATAGCCATTCATTGTTGAAATAATGTAAGTATCACTTATGCTACATGCTAGTGTCCAGACATGTTGGCGAGGAGACCCACGAGTGATACTAACACCATCAACATAATAAGAATTGATGTCATTAGGTCCTTCATCAAATGCATCTCCTGACCGATATTGATATCCTGTTACTCTACCACATATCTGAGAATAACTGATACCATTAGATGGGAACTGGACTGATACACAACTAGACAAACCATCTGTCCTACCACAAGCTCTAACTCCTCCTGACTGGTACAATTTAAACCCAGAAGGACAGTTCTGTGTAACATGAGTCATATCCAGATATGCTAGTCTTGTCCATTCTCCTTCTGAACCACACAGTGTTCCCATAATTATTGCAGTATATAGAATATGTTTCCTTGGCACCTGCCAGTATATAATAACCTGATTGACTCTTAGGCAGTTGTTCCTGTAGATGCTTACAAGAGGTTGGTAAAGCAGTTGATTCATTTTTAGTACTAATAGTTCTTGTGCTATAGTAGTATATCATCAGCCACTCCAGCAGTAGAGGTACTTGTGTCATGTAGATTAGACAATGTTAATGAGCTTTTGTACAGAATCACTTGTTGTTTTAAGATTTATTTATTAAGTTCAGTGAAGTTAGTATTGTTCTGAAATAATTGAAAGGTATTTTGTGTTACACCATCAGCCCATTCATCAAAGTGTGGAAGTTTCTGACTAACTTTAGATACTATATCATTTGCCCATTCATTTAAGTTAGGATATCCATTGTTGCCAGTAATAGCTCCAACAGTAGCTCCAGTAGTAGTACATACTGCATCTCTTGTAAACTGAGCCAGTAACAAGTAAAGGATGCCAACCGGTAGTATTACTATCATTGACAGTAACACTGTATATATGATTGTTTCTTTCCATGTTGCTTGCTCTCTTTTCTTTATATTCTTAGGCTCTTCGACTCTCCTCTCTTCAACAGCTGAGACTTGACAAAGCTCATATAAATTTTCATCTGTGATAGAATCATGTCTTAGACCCTGATACACTTGCTTCTCTTCCATTGTTTCCGTAGTAATACTTATCAAGTTATGAAAGCTATATAAATATTCAATGAGATGATTCTGACTAATTTACTGATTATAAAGTATTCATATTCCCAATGTGTTCCTATACACAACTAAATGCATGAGAAGTTTTTGTAGTTGTCATTAATTAAGGCAATAACCTGAGGCTAATGATGACATATTGGGCAATAGTAGTTAATGCAATGATTGCATGTATTCCACACATTTTAGCTGAAATTGATTTTGTTAACATTGATATTAACTGCACTGCCTTTTTTATATTATAAACAATAACATAAGGATAATGATATGATGATGATTGATAAAGTGATCTATTTCTCACTGGGGTGTTATAACATGCACTTATGGTGCTTGATGATGAATTTTGTAGAGACTGAGCACATAATTATATCTCCTTGTACAAAATACTGGCTATATGAGGTATTTAAAACAACCCACAAGTAGTTGCTTATGAGGAAATTTTAATGGCATGTACATGTACAGTACATGTACATTTACACTGGTTGCTATGGTAAAGCAGGATTCATAGTAACTACTTTATCACAAGATCTTTGAATATATTTAAGGTACCGCCCACTTTTGTCTCTAGCTGACCTTCTCCTCCTTCTGCGCTCTTCATTTAGTCTTTTTGTAAGCCTGATTATTAGAACACTCTCACTTTATTTTGCATTCTCAATCATTCCAACTTCTTTCATATTGTTTGTTCTTGCTTTATCTTCAATACCTGTTCTGCTTTACAGTACATACACAATTTTATTGCTTTCTGGGCATGGCAACCAAACCATATTCATCTTCTCCTGGTCTCAGACTGAAATTGGAGGAGCGACTCACCTGTCCTGTGTGTCTTGATCACTACACCAACCCTAAGACTTTACCTTGTCTACATTCATTCTGTCAGCACTGTCTGGAGGGATTACCTCTGGATAAGAAGAATGAGACCTATTACCTCTCTTGTCCCACTTGTTGTCATCATACAGAGTTACCAAAAGAAGGAGTAGGAGCCTTTCCTGTAGCATTTCACCTCAACGATCTCAAAGAGATGTACAGTCTAACAAAAAAGACAAAAGATTTTCCAAATTCTGTAGAAGCCACATGTAGTGATCATGGAAAGCCTTTGGAGTTCTTTTGTGAAACATGTGATACAGTAATCTGTTCTCACTGCTTAGTTTTTAATCACAAGCATCATGAATGTGAATTAATCTCTGATAATTATACCAAACTCTGTCAAAAGTTAAAAGAATGTTTATCACCAGTTAAAGGAAAGAAGGAAGCACTCAAGAAGTTCCTATCTGATCTAGCGGAGAGAGAGGGTGAGATTAGAAAAAGAGGAGAAGAAATCTTGGAAGAAATACATGAAATGGTAGAGGAAATGATGAATGTTCTTCGTCTATCAGAGAGAAAACTGACTGAGCAGGCAAAGAGGGTCACTGATGATAAACTGAAGGTGCTGTCAGAGCAGATGAAATCAACAGAAATGAGTTTGAAGATTTTTGAGGATTTTGAAGATTATGTGGAACAGAGTCTGAAGACAGGCAGTCCACAACAAGTCCTTAGGTTTAAAAAACAGATGATGGAGCGTATGAGTGAAGTTACTGCAGGGGTCAATGTAGAGGAGTTACAACCAAAGGAAAAAGCTGACTTTTTGTTGAGTAAAGATATTAAATTGCTACATCACATTGGAGATATTATTTCAGAGACTTCTGTACTACAGCAGTGTAGAGTGAAAAAGATTAATTGTATTGGCAAAACAGCTTCGTTTTCACTATCAATGGAATCGCCAGATTTTTCTCTTTTGTCTGTCCCCCTCTCTTCTCTCAGGTGTAGTCTAGTACCAGTTGGTAAAGGTGATCAATTCATTCACACAGTCACTACCACCAGCAGTGACCCTGGAGTGTATAGGATACAGTGTAACTCTTCAACACATGGTGTTTATACAGTAAAAGTACAAGTATATGATGTACAACTTGAGGATACCTCGGTAATAGTCCCTTTTAATCCTTACCTTGATGACATCACCCCAGTACATACTATAACTGATCTTAAGCGTCCCTGGGGAGTTGCTATAACTCCTGATAATCATGTTATATTAACTGAGAATTGGAGTCACTGTGTAACAATGCTAGATAGAAAAGGAAAGAAAGTGAAATCATTAGGAGGGAAAGGAGGAGGGGGTAAAGTTAAGTTTTTTTCTCCTCGTGGTGTAGCTATTACTCCAGACAAATTCATACTTGTGTCTGATAGTCACAGGATCCAGAAGTTAAACATGGTTGGATACCGAATAACGTCAATTGGTAAGGAGGGCAGTGGACCACTACAATTCAAGCATCCTTCTGGTATAGCCATTTTCCCTCTCACGGGGCAAGTTTATATTGCTGATGCTGGTAATCATCGCATACAAGTTTTTAATCCTGATTTAACCTTCTCTCATTCATTTGGTAGTGAAGGATCAGCTGATGGACAGTTTAAGTATCCCCTAGACATTGCTATTGACAGTCAAGGATTAGTGTATGTTGCTGACAGTTGGAATCATCGCATTCAGAAGTTCTCTCCAGATGGAATGTTTATGGGTCAGTTTGGTACTAGAGGATCTGATCCTGGACAGCTTAATAGTCCAGTTGGTATAACAATAGACACTGCAGCTACTAGTCTAGTGTATGTTAGTGAAGAGGGCAATAATCGCATCTCAGTGTTCACTAGTGATGATGTTTTTGTTAGCCTGTTTGGAAGTATAGGCAGTAATATTGACAAGTTTAATGGCCCTAATGGATTAACATTTAATGAAGATGGATTCTTGTATATTTGTGATTTTAGTAATAGCCGACTTGTTGTTTATTAAAGTGATGATTTGTTTTTTCTTGAATTATTATAATAATAATGTGACAATTTATGTACATTTGTATGTTGTATTTTTATTTTGACAAGTACATTTATGTTGCTACAAGTACAATATCAAACATAAATACTCTAGGAGGTCATTATGGCTATCTTCGCTTCCATTGTTTCATTTTTCTACCCTAGTTTATTGCAAATTCTTCATTTTTATCACTCACTTTTGCTGTACCTTTATTTACCTTCATCTAACTACATTGTATCTTCTATAAGATAGCTCATACACATCTATTGTATTAATTTGTTAATCCTAGTGTATACATGTGTATGTACATGTACAGTGGTTGCTAAAACTCACTATGTACTACATCTATCATAACTTCCTTCAGTCACAAGATCTTTCAATATATTTAAAGCATCACCCACTTTTTGTGTCTAAAGGAAAAGCTTACCTTCTTTAGCCTTTCTCTCCTCCTTCCACTCTCTTCATTTCTTCTGTTGTTGTATCTGGTCATTAGGACTCTCTTTCATGACTCATTCACTGCCTTCCTCCTCCACCTCTACTTTGTTGTGCACTCTCGTTCATTCATTCTTGCTCTACTGTCTTCTACCTTATCTCTACTGAATTTATGTACACAATTTTATTCTTTTCTTAAAATGGCAACCAAACCATCTTCTGGCCTCAGACTGAAACTGGAGGAGCGGCTCACCTGTCCTGTGTGTCTTGACTACTTTACCAACCCTAAGATCCTACCCTGCCATCACTCATTCTGTCAGCACTGTCTGGAGGGATTACCATTGGATAAGATGAACGAGACCTATTACCTCTCTTGTCCCACTTGTCGTCATTGTACTGAATTACCAGAGGAAGGAGTAGGAGACTTTCCTGTAGCATTCCACCTCAATGACCTCAAAGAGATGTACAGTCTAACAAAGAAGACAGCAGATTTTTCAATTCCTCAAGCGGCCACATGTAGTGATCATGGAAAGCCTTTGGAGCTATTCTGTGAAACATGTGATACGATGATCTGTGTTAACTGCTCAGTTCGTAATCACAAGCATCATGAATATGACTTAATTGCTGACAGTTACACTATAAATTGTCAAAAGTTAAAAGAATGTCTATCACCAGTTGAGAGAAAGAAGGAAGGACTCAAAAAGTTCCTGTCTGATTTAGCACAGAGAGAGGGTGAGATCAGAGAGAGAGGAGAAGAAATTTTAAAAGAAATACATGAAATGGTAGAGGAAATGATGAATGTTCTTCGTCAGTCAGAGAGGAAACTGACTGAGCAGGCAAAGAGGGTCACTGATGATAAACTAAAGGTGCTGTCGGAGCAAACAAAATCAGCAGAAATGAGTTTGAGTCTTCTTGAGAGTTTTGAGGATTATGTGGAACAGAGTCTGAAGACAGACAGTCCTCAACAAGTCCTGAGGTGTAAGAATCAGATGATGGAATGTATGACTGAAGTTACGGCACAGATCAATGTGGAGAAGTTACATCCAAAGGAAAAAGCTGACTTTGTATTGAGTAAAGATATCAAATCGCTACAGCATATTGGTGATATTGTCTCACTACAGCAGTATGAAGTGAAGAAGATTGATTGTATTATACCTGCTTGCAGGGAAGTTTCATTTTTACTATCAATGGAGGCACAAGATTCATCTCTTCTGTCTGTTCCCCTCTCTTCTCTCAGGTGTCGTCTAGTACCAGTTGGTAAAGGTGGTCAACCCATTCACACTACAGTTACCACTAGCACTGATCCTAGAGTGTATAGGATACAGTGTAACCCTTTAACACGTGGTACTCATGCTGTAAAAGTACAAGTATATGATGTACTACTTAATGATACCTCAATGGTTATTCCTTTCAATCCTTACCTTGATAACATCACTCCAGTACATACTATAACTGAGCTTAAGCGTCCCTGGGGAGTTGCTATAAGTGATGATAATCTTCTTATAATAACGGAGTATTGTGGTCACTGTGTAACAATACTAGATAAAGAAGGAAAAAAGGTGATATCATTAGGAGGAGAAGAAGGAAGTGGTAATGTCAAGTTTTCTTATCCTCGTGGTGTAGCCATTACTCCAGACAAATTTATTCTTGTGTCTGATAGTCACAGGATCCAGAAGATAAGTATGGATGGATACCGTATAGCATCAGTTGGTCAGAAGGGCAGTGGACCGCTACAATTCAAGTATCCTCGTGGTATAGCCATTTCTCCTATATTAGGACATTTTTATATTGCTGATGAGGATAATCATCGTATACAGGTCTTGAATCCTGATTTAACCTTCTCTCATTCATTTGGCAGTAGAGGATCAGCTAATGGGCAGTTTCAGCATCCACGTGACATTGCTATTGACAATCAAGGACTAATTTATGTTACTGATCTGTGTAATCATCGCATTCAAAAGTTCTCTCCAGATGGAAAGTTTGTGGGTCACTTTTGGCACAGAAGGATCTGGTCCTGGACAGCTTAATACTCCAGTTGGTATAGCAATAGATACTGCAGCTACTAGTCTAGTGTATGTTAGTGAATTGGGCAATAATCGTATATCAGTCTTTACTAGTGATGGCGTGTTTGTTAGTAGTTTTGGAAGGTGGGGTAGTAATAATTATAAGTTTTATAGTCCTTATGGATTAACATTTGATGAAGATGAATTCTTGTATGTTTGTGATCATGACAATGGGCAACTTGTTGTTTATTAAACAATTTTTATATTTTAAAATTAATTTATAACTATACATTGAAATGACGAATCCAAGCAGACCAGAGGGACCAGTGATTGTTCTCATTAAAATAAACACGTAAAAACTTAAAATAAAGCAATTCCATTTTTCCTCATTCAGCATCACTGTATATACTGTACATGATGTAGTTATAATTCACGATAATTGCATTATAAAGCTCCACCCTCTGTTACACCCTGACGCATATGTACATGTACGTATAAAGATAACTACATACTTCTTTATTATCAATTATTATCATTATTTTTTATACAGTGATTGAAAAGGAGTACTCTAGTTGTATATATAGCAAGAACCTTTTGCGGCCCAAAATTTTAATTTTTTCAAAATTCATTAAAATGCAATCCACCAAAATCAATTAAATACATTTCAACATGGCCAAAAAAGATAGATTTTTTTTATTGATCTGCAAAATGTTTGGGCCAAAAAAATATCTCACTATATGGAATTACTGGTGGCCTTCAGTGAGTTTTAGGCAGGGGTGTATTAATGGGGGACTAAAAGGGGAGCACCCCTCTCATGGCTGGGATTAGAGAATTCTTTAAGGCCTGGTGTCTCATATCACTGCTAAGTGTCTTAAGAAAATTATTTAACACACTTGACAATCATTTCAGCCTCAATTTCAACATTTTCCAGTACTTTAAAGGGCAATAGGAAGAGCCAGCTTGCCTCAAATTACCATATGACCTGCCTATTATTAAGAACAATCTTTGAAAATGGTGAAAAACAATATTTTAGTGCATCAATTAAGTAATCAGGCTTGATTCATTGAATTTGGGCATGCAGTAAAACTGAATCAGCATGATTCTTGTCTGTGTAGTAGTACCAAATTCAAAAAATTTTCCCTCCAAAATTACCTGCTGTATATAGTAACCTGCACATAAAGGATCAACGCCTACATGTATAACAGACATGCAAGCTGTCTTGTACCATAGTGTGTGTTATATAGAGGCTACACTGTACTAAAATTTTGTGTGGGCAACAGATACATGTAGATCTATATTGATTATTTTTAAAATGATTCTCTTAAATTATAATAATAATGATAATAAGACCTACTGGCATCTTTATCCTATCATGGCCTCTGGGTCGTCCAGTAGCTTTGGATGTCGCTGTTGTTTCTCCACTGTATTAGCAGACCCTCTCACAAGTTGCTTCAGAGAGTGGATATGCCCTTCTTGTTGCTGAGGTGCTCAAGAATGTTGTGCATTTGGAGGAGTGCCGTAGGATTGGGGTCATCTTTCAGCCTCTAGCTGTGGAGGCTCTGGGGAGGTTAAAGTAAGGGAGCTGTTTCTGTGCTTCGCACCATTAGTGGTCATCTGACCTCTCACAGGGGACTAGATCAGCAGGAAGTGTCCTTGCATCTTTTTCAGAGACTTTCTCTTGCTTTGTGGTGCACTAATGTTAAGCTGCTCTCCTGTCCTTCCACCTGATGTGGATGGGCAGACCTGACTCTTTTTTCCAGCTCTTATTAACATTATTTCTTTATTTTTGTTTTTTTTCTCATAGGGCTTTCTCCCTCCTAGTTTCCCTTTTTTGTTTTTTTAAATAATAGTAGTGCTTTGTTTTGCTTTTGATAATAATAATAATAATAACAATAATAATAATAGTAATAGTAATAATAATAATAGAAAATATTTATAGAGAAAAAGTACACATAATAAATAGCACAATTAAAGCAATAATAATTGTTTTTTAAAGGTAATAATAATAATAATAATAATAATAATAATAATAATAATAATAGCTAATAGGTGGTATGAGCATAAGCCAGAGGGAGTGATAGAAGGTAACGATGTAAAGATATTATGGGATTTCATGGTCCAATGTGATCGATATATAAAACATAGGAAGCCTGACATAATTGTTATTGATAAAAAAAAAAGCAACACTGTGCCATAATTGACATAGCTATACCAGGAGATTCTAGAGTTAAAAAGAAGGAGGAGGAAAAAATTAGTAAATATCAGAACTTGAAGTATGAAATGGCAACTTTATGGAAAATGAAGAAGGTCAAGGTCATACCAGTAATAGTTGGAGCATTAGGAGCTGTGTCGCGTAACATCAAGGAATGGTTTAAGAGGATAGGCATATTTGTAAGGATTGAGCACATCCAGAAGACAGCATTGTTAGGAACTGCTAACATCATAAGACGAACTCTTACTTAAACTTTGTATTTTAATGTACCTTTGCTTACTTGTTGTAAGCTGATATATCAATTTTATTCCACCTTGCTTACGCAAGTTGTGTCTTATTATCAAATAATAATAATGATGATAATAATAACAATAATAATAATCATAAAAACAATAATAATAATAAGTAAAGCAATAATGATAATAATGATAATAATAATAATAATAACAATAAACAATACATTTATTTTCATATTTTTCCTTTGTAGATTAGAGCTAATTGGTGTTAAACTGTATATGTATAATGAACAGATGTATAATACAGACTAAATAATACAACCCACCAAATGAAAGTCGTCATTATAATCTATACATACTATATATCAGGTAATTATTAGTATTTTATTATTGTTGTTGTTTGTAAAGTCTCCTCATTATTTATAGTATGGTACTTCATTAAGTGGAAGCTAGAGAATATTTATCAGCATGGGAAAATAAGTAATTACAAGGATGAGGGAGAGGGTGAGAATTACAGGAGGCTTTTGTACATGTGTACATATACATGTATGCCAGTATCAGATGCCAGTCAGTGATACGCTTACTTTTATTATTAAAAATTTTACAACGAGACATCATTTATAACACATGGTATAATGAAAACTTCCCTCCCATTTCATTAGTTTCTGTCTATCAAATCACGTTAAAAGTATAATGTACGTCAGTAAGCTTTTTGTGTTGATAAAATGAGCTCTTCATTTTTATTATCTTTTAAATTAATTAGTAAGCACATATACACATATACACATCATGTATTGTAGTAAGGGTATGTTTTTGTTGGGGGATTTTGAAAATGATTTATAGTGATCATTAGGTTAAATTTAAAATTAATATGTGCCTGTATCGACATGTACATACATATGTACCTGTTTATTTCTTTTTATTATTTTTTAGAATTTATTTGAGTCTTCTGATAACTTTGATCTTGTTCAAATCATAGATATTAGAGTAAAATGAAAAATTACTGAATTGATCAATTTATTATAAATTATGAACATATTGACGAGGAGACAAAACAAATCTGTTAAATAACAAGCAGATGTCAATTATTACGGGTCAGTGGTCATGTGACAATTGCATATTATTTAAAATGTAATGTAATACACAGGTACTGTATAGATAGTAATTAGCCAATTGCTTAACTTTCGGTAATTGGCGGCAAATTTTTATTTTACAACATTATGTAAGTATATGTGTACATGGCTAGTGTGCATACACTAACAGGTCAGGTGTACAGAGTATGTATCTTAGTATACTGATGTGGAGCGAGGGTTACTGAATGTACATGTATATAAATTTTGTATATGATGATTAGAAGCCAAGACAGAGCAGAGGCTTCTAATCAACAAACATCCAAGCGTATACAAAACATCTGTAGTTTATGGTGTGTGGGTGTATGAAAGGCACTCAGTAGTGTAACAATATCAGTATTGGCAGTTAGTCTAAAGCTATGTTTACTATTATACGTTGTGACATCATTAGATTTAATGCAACACAAAATCAGCCCAGCCCATATTTGGTCTTATGTTGCATGCAACATAAACAATGACACAGGTGAAATTGTGTATATTGTAAACCTAGCCTTATTATGGCTTACTATGGTATACTACCCTTGCTGTGGTCTCCACTGCATAAACTTGTGGCAGTGCCTTTGATACACCCACACACTATGATACAAATTTGTGGTACATTGCTACAGAAGCAAACTTTATAGATAAAGTAGCAGTATCTATTTGACATTGCTACTCTTCACTGTGTTAAATCAATGAGTACTACATGGAGCCCATTTCATCACCACCTATTGCATGTAATCTTGCAAGCATATCTATCTATGTATGACCAATTGTGTTCGACTTGCTTTAATTTGATTGACAACTGCCCTGACTCGTGACTGTTATATAGGTGAGCACCCTGCAATGTAGGCATATGTCCTTGCAGCTCCTTTGATATTTTTACAAAAAATAAAAGCAATTTTTAAAAGATCTAAGTAATCTAAGTAGCATTATAAGTAAAATATGATAAAATAAACTGCTGAATATATAAACATTTACAAATGTTATTGAATATAGTTTATTTTCACCTACCATTGCATTAATTACTTTAAAACCATAGCAAATACGTTGCTCCTTACTATAAAAAGAATTTTATGCTTCTAGAGACTTGAAGGCAGCAGAAATGTTTTGGTCTGGACTACTTATACTTTTTGTTTTACATTTTACTAATGGTAAGACAGCAGTAAATAATGCCGTTGCTCTTACATACACTGAAGTAGATGGTATAGTAGTATTAATACTGCTGTTGATGTTGTTTCTTTATATTTTTGTACTTATCTGTTTTAGGCTGCAGAGAAGTTGTCTCTGATCTTGTCATATTAATAGATGAGTCTACTAGTATTTCACCCAAAGATTTTGAAGTGGAGAAACAGTTTGCAGCTAACATAACTAATCAGTTCTTTGATAGCAAAGGGATGACACATGCAGCTGTCATCAGATTCAGTGACACTGAACGTACACTAGTCATAAGTCATTTAGGAGATGTCAACAATCCTGTTATATTAAAAGAAATTATACTAGCAATTAGTAATAATGACTCTGACTTTGGTAGGGGTGCATCCACACATCACAAAGATGCCATGATACTAGCTAGAGAACAACTTAGAGACCGAGGGAGAAATGGGGTAAGAAAAATCATTATATTCATAACAGATGGTCTTCCTGAGGATGAGAATAGTCGTATAAAAGGGTCTAATTCACCACAGTCTGCTATTGGGGAGGCGACTTTTGCAAGGAGTGAAGGGGTTGAAATTTTCTGTATTGGTGCCTTCTATCCTAATACAATAGTGAATGCAACACTGGAACTGATAGCTATTGCAGGAGATCCTAACAGAGTTATTGTGACTAACTTTGAAAGTCTTAACAACTCACTGGCTGACAGAGTCACTGAAAAAATTTGTGACTATAGTAAGTATTAGAGCTAGCTAGTCTATGCTTGTAAATCATTCAAACTCTCCTAACTAAAAATTTTTAACTTAATAATTTTGTATTTTAATTTTTATCTCAGTGCAATCATCAAGTGACACTTTGCCCATGCAGAGTTCAATAGGCAATGAAGGACAGATAACCCAAGTGTCAAGTGTACCAAAAAGCCAAACTCTTGGTACAAGCATAGGTATTAAACTATTATCATTGCATTATTGAGCTATCAACATGATTTTAGCTCAGTTGCTGACTATAACAAGTTGTACATCATCAAGTTTAGTACCATCAACAAGTATCCTATCATCATTGATAAATGATCCATCAGGTTAGATACATCTATGAGTATACACTTGTTGTTATTGTCAATTATTAGTTACAAGTTCAATACAAGATAATGAAGGTGCAGGCACTGTAGGCCCAGTGAATGGCATGATTATTGCAGCACTTGTGATCTCAGGATTGAGTCCATTACTGATCATTATATTGATAGTTGTATTATTTGCTGTTCTTCTCTATTTGTAAGTGTCATTCATTGGACAGTACATTGTTTTTAATATTTTATCATTTAGGAAAAAACTCAAAAAAACAGTGTCTAAATCTAGTAACAGCTCTGTTGGTAATGAGACAAGCAATATGGCTTTTGATACAAATGTGAGCTATGAAACACATAAGATACAAAATGAGTATGTTAACAACACATTATGATTATAATTTAAATGCTATTAATAGGATAGCTACTTCATTTGTGTATGAAGAAATTAATAACTATCAAATGTCAAGAAAACAATAAAAATCAAAATACTCATCAATTATTAATTATAAGATAGAGACAACTAAGATTATCAGTTTATTGTATATTAATGGTAATATACTTTCCAATATTTTAATCCTGGCTGCAAATTTAACCTATTAAACAAAGAAAGCTATACTCCTACACACTGTGTGTGTATTAACAGTAGACATAGTTCACTTGGTATACGGATAATCAAAGCTACAGTATAATACTACCAAATTTGATAGTAAATGAACAGCGCATGAGAAATAACACAGTAAGTGACTATTATTGTCAGATATTCTGCTGTAGCAAAATATCTCCATATAAAGATTCCTATACTTTTGTCAGGTCCCATCATTATGTCCAGTGATACTAGCTCATAGCCTAAGAGTACATGGGATCATCTAGTGGGTATACCTATAGTGGAGCTGGGTTGCATATATTCTGCTCAGACTCAGTTGAGTATCTACTTCCATTAAGAAGTTTTTGGATATTATCTATATTAGGCTAGTTATGCTGCTTCTATTTTTTATTGTATTATTTTTAATCTTTATCAATGTAATAGAACTTACTACCTGGTCTTTGTCTGGTTGTACCTGGTCCAGGAGTAATTTATGCAGTAGCTGGAATTGTGAATGCATATTGGTGAGTGCAAACTGAAAACAATAAAATAGTAATAATGATGATAATAATTATAGGCCAGTGGTAATTCATTTGATCAAGATCAGGTTGGAATAGGAGGATTTCAAGAATGGAACCACGTAAACATGAAACGTGTCAATGAATTGTCCTTAAACACAATTTTGATTGTTTTAAATAACCATGATTATGAATGTTCTTAAGGACTAAAATTATATGTGAGGTTCATGAAAATTTTCTGCTGTATATAACATGAAGAACACTAACTGCAATAATAATAATGTAGTCAATGCAAGCCAATTAGTTTAGTCCAGTCCAGCTGTAAGTTTTCCACCAGAATAGAGAAACTAGAGTCAATAGCCTTAATACCATACCTTTTTGAAAAAGTAATAATTATTGTACATTCACTGCATGTGCACTAATTGTTTCTAAGTTTGGCTTTTGATTATTTTTATTTTTCTCTTAATTATTCTCATAATACTTTCTTTGTTATGTTCTCCTTTCTGTTTTTATGCCGACTTTGGCCCAACTTTTGAGAAACTGTAGAAATTCATAAAAAATTTAATTTTGGTCAAAATCTACTCAAATTTGAAGAATATGTACATATATAGTACAGTTTGTTGAAAGTAAAGTGCTGTGCAGTACACTTTATCCTTTTAGAGCACTGAAAGAAGCTGATGTCATACTATTAGTTGGTGCTAAATTAAACTGGATACTGCATTTTGGAAAACCGGCAAGATTTAACAACGATGTTAACATAATTCAAGTGAGTCGTAAAAAATTATTAAATTATTACTAATTGAAGTTAATTAATAACTTTTGATCAAGATTGGGAATTTTGTGTTACTAGTTCTTCTTTTTAATTTTGGTAAAATTTGGCCTGTGGACAATTTAAAAAATTTTAAATTCAAATTTAAATGGAATCAGCACAAACTTTCTACACAACATAAGTACATGTACATGTATCTTTCTCTTGACACCAACACTCCCACAGCTGAATGCATGACCTCTTAATTTAGCAGCCCCGAGATCTCATAGGCCTTAGACACATTAACTGAGTGATGCTTCTTCAAGACATGTCACATGAGAGGTAGAATCTAAGATCACGGACTGACTGATTACTGGGTATGGCACAGTTATCTATTGTATAAACAAATTGAGGTTGAGAAGAAGGCATTCTTGAGAACGAACATGACCTGTTTTAGACTTAAAGGCCAGATCCCACTCATTACTCGATTGTAGAGCTTAAGTTACACTAGCAGTACAATCAGACACATCTTTAACTACTTGAAAACATTTAGTATCCAATGATCTTGCTAGCCACCATCCATTAGTATGCTCTTCCTTGATCTCAAGTTTTTCTCCTTTCTTCAATAAAAGTTCAGTACTATCCCTTGCCTCCCAATACAAAGCTATATAAACTGATCCTCTGGTGAATTTATTGATTGTGTAGACAGATCCTTTCCAAAATACCAGTATAGTCAATATGTTGATACAATGTAAAACATAATGCAAAGGCACTGAAATTACAAGTGTGAATGGTACATAGTAAATAATTATAATTAATAATTATTAATAATAAAATAAAAATTAATAAAGTACATGTATCTTAAGTTCAAATTTACATTAGCAAAAAATTGAATGTAATATACTTAATACTGCTAAATAGACAACAATCTTTAAATAGATGACAATCTTTCCCTATATCCTTTCATTCACGTGCCAAGTGATTCAAGGCATTCAGCAACTACAGCCACAGCCTTATTAGTATTGCCATGTCGTCCACCCTCGGGACAATAACCTATGACAATAGCAGATTTCGTCACTTGCATTGTAAGGGCACCATATTCCCTCTTCTTAGCATACACAATTTTACCACCCTCTTCACGTAACAAGTAATACTTTGTTTCTTCAACTATAATACCAAAAGCCACAAAATCTGAAAAGTCTTTACTCTTAAAAGCTCTAGCTATATTGGTAAATTCTGTTTGGCTACCCTAAAAACACAACAGAAACTGGTAGTACATATAATAATACTTACTTTCAGGGCATAAGGACTGGCAGCAGTGGTCCAAAGAGCACCCCCGTTGAGCCCAATGATACAGCATCTGTCAACATGAGCAGTACCACTGGTGTCTTTACTTTGAGTGACCAAATCATTAATATATGAGTCAAAAGACATGGGTAGCCCTGAAAAAGAAAGAGAAATTACTGATTAAGTGCAGGGACTGTAAATGAAGTAAAGTCCTCTTAACCCTATCCAATGGCATTGAGGTCACACACTAAAGTTAAGGAATTTATAATGTAGATTGTACAAATTTATTGATATCAATACAAAAAATTTTTTTGTATGCCAGAAGACAAACACATTAATTTTTAAAAGGAGATCAGACAATGTCTATAAAGGTCAATTCACAATGCTCCATATTGTTACAACTGGAAATGATTATAAACATCATGGGTAACATAAGACTTGCGGAAGTTTTAACTCCTGTGCTTATGTAACAGTATACATTTATAGGTACTTCCAGTCGTAACATATAGTGCAGTGTGAATTAGCCTTAATACTTTGAAAATATTTAATAGATTATAAATATATCTTACAATGTTCTTTCTTTCTGAGTTGATCTAACAGAACTGAATCTTGTTTAATTGATGACAAAAAAAGACTTGCTTTCTCAACATTGCTGCTTGTCTTAATTTCCTTGATTTTAGGTATGTTAACATTTTCTGTCATTGCATAATTCAGATGCTGACAGTTCACTCTCTTCATCTTTTTTCATGCAATTTCTAGAAACAAAATCCCTCTTGATCAGTATCTAATGACCTAGCTAGCCACCGTCCATCAGACTGAGTATGTTCATTTTTGATCTCAAGTTTTTCTCCTTTCTTGAAAGAAAGATCACCAGTTACTCTTGACTCCCAGTCATACATAGCCACATAAACTGGTCCTTTTGGTGGATATATTGATTGTGTAGACAGATTCTTTCCTAAAACACCTGTACAAGTCATTATGTTACTATAATTTAATACCGTATGGCTAGAAAATTCCGTGGGGTATTTAATTTCGCAGATTTCGTGGGTAACTTCTTAACCACGAAAATTAATACCATGGAAATGCTCACTGCGCATGCGCAGCATGTGAAAATCAATGACTTAATGCAAGTGCACGTGCAAAAACGCGGAATTTAACTCCCTCGAAATTAAAGAATTAAGAGCTTTTCCCTAAAACACGAAAATTTATGCCCTTGAAATTTTCTAGCCATACGGTACATACCAAGAGTAATTGAAGCTCCTTTCAGTTGTTGAGTATTGATTAATGATATTTTTTTCCTGTAACTGTTCTATCTCTTTGTCTCTTCCAATTAATGTTTTCTCTACTGCAAATAATGTTTCTTCTATTCCTATTCATTAATAACAGTCGTTAATAAAATCAAAAATTGGCTACTAGTCTTAATATATCATAAAAACAGATTTTATTAATAATTTGAGTACTATTAAATTGCACGTACCAGTATTAGTATTGAGTATATGCATGAACAAGTACAATTATGCTCCTACAATAACAAATTAATGTACAAGCAATTACTCTAAAACAGCTGTACTGTGTTGTCATTATACAGTATATGGATATTGGATATGGAAATGTGGATATCTCCCTAGGGCTGGCAGATATACAATGATATTTATTGAATATCCACTATAAACCATGTGCGGTACCTTTGATATGTATGGCTTCTATAGAATAAGTCTGTATATATACATGTACATGTACCTGCTTTGCTTTGAAGAGATGATCGTAAATGATCTATTTCCATTTGCATTGCTTTTGTCATCTTCTTTCTACTGTCTTCCATCTCACACTCTAAATAATAAAAATAAATAATTAAATCATTGGGAATAACAATTCAGCTACATGATGTACATGTATTTTTATTCAAAATTCATGCACATGACAAAATTCATAGATGTCATGTATCAAAACATAAATGTCATTATACCTGATGATTGTATTGATGACTTATTGCTTTCATCAACTCCTCTACCTTGATATGAGATGCCCTTAAATTATCAATAATTATAATCAATAATAATTAGTATATACAGTACCTAATGTGTCTATTATATCCTTCAATTTAGTATTCTCCTCATGTAAATCATCTCTTTCACTCTCTACTATCTCCAGTTTCTTCATTAGACTCTTCACCTCCTATCAAATATTAAAGTATACTAGTAATTTATGTACACATACATTCACTAACCTCATCAATTACATGTTCATCATACACAGTATAATAACCAATAGTTAAACTAATTAATCCCATCTCCTTTAGCATATCAATGTTATCTCTAGCAGTCACTAGTAAACTCTCCATCAGATAATGAGGAGCATAACAAGTAACAATGATGGAGTTCCCTTCTTTGATGACTACCACCTCCACTTGATTATCCTTGAACGTTTTCCATAGGAGGGCTCTGATACTGGAGAGAGAATGCTCACTTGGATTCCATTTCAGAACAAACTTGATTGTCTCACAAGTGAGGAGAGAAGAGGATAATCTCTTAAGCTGACAATCACAAAGCATTGTTAATTTGTTCTCACAGAATTCATCCAAGTGTGTTTGATAAGCTAATATCATGTCTCCAGCATCTTGTAATGAATAGTTATTCACTATAGCCTCCAAAACTGAAACATTGAGAATGGAACACTCTTTTTCGATCACTCGAATGACAGCATCAAATGTTTCTGCTTGGTCCAATTGATTTTCTAAATGAGAGCGACATCGTCTAACATAAGTCTTTAAATCATCAACAGATGGTATCACTGCTTTGATGAGAGGAACAACATTATGAATAAGAGTACCACGCAAAGTAGCCATTCTATCAAATTCCGCTTCATAGCCAGGATGAACTATGACCTCTACTACACCTACAAGTATAATGTAGTGTAAAGACACTGAATTAGGTATAATTAATGTCACTAACCTTGTGCAGTAGCATCAGTATTGGTAGTTACTTGAGTCTCACTAGTAATATCTTGTAATTGTTGAGATCCTGTATTTATTATAATAGTGATGTAACAGACGCTCCAACTATCTGTTAACCAAACTTTATTCTTAATCAACACGAGACTCAACTGAGCTCCAAAACCAACTAACAAAAACAAAACTAACTCACAACTAACTAACAACACACTTATATAGATATTATAAATGTCCAGAAGGTTCTATAACATACAAGAATACTTTACATGATTGTTCTAGAATATACTTGAATAAACACATAATATATAATTACAATAGTACACAGAGAGTTCCGGATCCATCTAGAAACAACTTCTTACATTTCCTCCCTTCCCCTCTGGCACGAAGTGCTCTTCCTCTCCAATCTAGAAAGTGCATTTGCATTTGCTAACCCTTTCCGATGTTGTATAGTGAAATTATATGGTTGCAGAATCAAACTCCATCTAGTCAATCTTGCATTCTTCTCTTTAAACTTGTGTAGCCATTGAAGAGCTCTATGATCCGTCTGAATAATAAAAGATCTCCCTATGAGATATGCACTGAAATGCTTGATGGCTAGAATAATAGCTAAGCACTCTTTTTCGACTGTCGAGTATGCTTGTTCTCTCGGGAGTAGCTTTTTACTAGAATAAGCAACTGGTCCCTCATCTAAATTCTCCTCTCCTTGACTAAGAATTGCACCAACTCCTACTCCTTAAGCATCAGTTTGCAATATAAATGTTTGATTGAAGTTCGGATTTTTCATTAATGGTGCTGTAGTTAATGCTGTTTTTAGCTTCTGAAATGCCAATTCTGCCTTCTCACTCCATATGACCCGTTCAGGCAGCTTTTTCCTAGTCAATTCAGTCAAGGGTTCTGCTATCGAAGCATAATCCTGCACAAACCTACGGTAGTATCCAGTGATTCCAAGAAACGTCCTTACATCCTTCTTTGTCTGTGGTCTTGCCATATTTATAATAGCTTCAATTTTTCTTTGTTCTGGTCTGACCCCTCCTTTGCCAATCTGGTATCCAAGATACGTACACTCCCTTGCTCCAAATGTACACTTCTTTAGCTTGATTGTCAATCCCGCATCATCCAGTCTCTTTAAAACATCTGTTAACTGATTAAGATGATCTCTCCATATACTGCTATGAATTACTATGTCGTCTAAGTACACTCCTGCAAAAGTCTCCGTCCCTCTCAAGATTTCATCCATCATGCGTTGAAAGGTTGCAGGTGCACCACTAAGACCAAACGGCATAGTCTTGAATTGATAAAGTCCTCGAGGACTAGTAAATGCTGTTTTCTCCCTGTCCTTCTCGTTCACGGGTACCTGCCAGTATCCCTTTGCAAGGTCCAACGTCGTTATGAATTCTGCATCCCCTATTGTATCTAGTAACTCCTCAACTCTAGGCATAGGGTACGCATCGAACTTTGTAACCTGGTTCAGTTGCCTGTAATCGACACAAAGCCGAATACCCCCATCCTTCTTCTTAACTATCACCAAGGGTGAGGCCCATTCACTTGATGACTTCTCAATTACCCCATCTCTTTCCATTTCTTCCAATTCCTTCATTACATCCTTGAGATACGCTTGAGGAATCCTGTATGGCTTTTGTCTGATTGGCTGACTATCAGTTGTCCTAATATGATGGAAAATTCTATCTGTCTTACCTGGTGTATTTTTAGTCACACTAGGAAACTTCCTCAACACCCTCCATAGATCTGACTTCATATCTTCTGTTAACTGAGTTCCAAACACAATTTCTCCAGTGTCAGACCACCTATATCCTTCAATATCTTCTCCATCCTCAATAACTGCATTAACAAAAGCTCGCTCTTTCCATTTTTTGAGATGATTCACATGAAAGATTTGCTTTCGACCTCCTTTGTCAGGCATTTCGATCTCATATGTCACTTTCCCTATTTTTCTTATCACTTCATACGGTCCCTGCCATTTAGCCACAAATTTTCTGGTACTGCTTGGTAATAGTAGTAATACTTTGTCCCCAACTTCAAAATTAATCTCTCTCGATCGTTGATCATAATACATTTTCTGCTTAGCTTGCACTGCTCTTGCATTCTCCTTCACAATTTCTCTTGCAGATTCCATCCGTTCTCGCGTATCCATCACAAAACTCAGTATATCTGTTTCGATTTCTGTGCTGTGGATCCATTCCTCCTTTAAAACATCTAACGGTCCTCTCACCTCCCGTCCGTATAGTAGTTCAAAGGGACTGAACCCAAGAGTCGATTGTGGAACTTCCCTATATGCGAACAAGACATATGGTATCATGTGGTCCCAGTTCTTCCTCTCTCCTTCCAATACTTTCCTTAGCATAGACTTTAGTGTTCGATTAAATCATTCCACGAGGCCATCGGTCTGTGGATGGTATGGACTGGTCTTGATTGCTTTGACCCCCATGAGATGATGTAGCTCTCCCAGCAAGCTTGATGTGAAATTTGAACCTTGATCTGTCAATATTTCTTCAGGAATTCCATATCTAGCAAATAACTCAATCAACACTTCAGCTACTTTCTTTGCAGTAATATTCCTTAAAGGAAATGCCTCTGGGTATCTTGTTGCGTAATCATTTATCACTAGAATGAATCGGTTTCCACGACTGGTTCTTGGTAGCGGTCCTACAATATCCATGGCAATCCTCTTAAATGGTTCTCCTATTATGGGTAAAGGTATCATTGGAGCCTTCCTCTTGTGATTTGCATGTAGCTGGCAATCTTTACAAGCTTCACAATAGAGTCTCACATCTTTAAATAAAGTAGGCCAATAGAATCTCCTTAATATCCTTTGGGTTGTCTTGTCTCTACCCAGATGTCCTGAAAATGGTAAATCATGTGCTAACCTGATGACTTTATTCCGATACTGTGCTGGTAGAACAATCTGTTCATATGTGGTACTTGGTGAGTCCTTGGGTCTCCATGTACGACAAATTACTCCTTCCTTCCGAACTATACGTGATGGATCCTCCTTCTTTATCCATGACTGAATCTCGCAATCTTTCTCCTGGTCCATTATCAGTTGT